CTCCACCCCGGCTTAACCTCTGGAGCCATGTCCCTCAGTGGAGCAGACTTTTAAAAGTTCTGATTTTGTGCTCCATTGCTCTGCCGCTTGCCAGGAGCCAGCCCCTCCCCCCTGTGGTCTATCTTCCAGTTGCTTTGGATTCACTTCTCCATAAGTCCTACCTTTCAGAAAGTGGTTGACTTTCTGTTTCTAGAATTGCTGCTCTTCTTCTCTTCGATCTCCTGTTGGATTTGTAGGTGTTGGGAATGGTTTGATAAACTATCTAGTTGATCTCCTGCTACCTGATGTCATCTCAACCTGCTACTCCTTAGCCATCTTCAAAATTTAGGTTTTTATGAAGTTATTGAACATGCATGTATTTCTTTCCTTTAGGAGTTTACCAAGTAATAATCTAGCTACAAAAAAATGTAGGCTGAGCTGGAATGAGTAATTTATATAACTGTAGTCCCAGAAGTGTGGAAAAAATGAAGTCGAGGGACTATTCCCAGGAAACTCCTGGAAAGTCTTGACAAAGATTTGAGCTTGATGAGAGTTTTGCTTAGCCCGTTAATCTTGGAATCCAGATGTATATCATGGCAATGTTTATTGGTTAACCTTACTGAAAAACTACAGATTGCTACTTTTTCACTTTTTAAATTTCAAATTTGTTTCAGTCACATAATGTGCATTTGGTAGCTTTGTTTATGTTTCCATTTGTAGCCAGTAACATGCAGTGTATCCTTTTGGCTAGATGATGCAGTAGCTGAGCATTCTGCCAATTGGCTTAAACTGGGGAGAGGTTGTTGCAAGAGATTTTATGCAATCCATATTGGATATATACCTTTGAATAATTAATTGTTTTATAGCAAAAACTAGTGGGTTCTGGACAGAGTGATTTTCTTTATTTTAATGTTTCGAAGGAACCCAAACAGTCAATTACTCTCTTTCCCTGTAGAACTTACTTTTTTGGCTTCATTGAATTAGGTTAATTAGGAAAGCAATGTACCCCCTCCCACTGCCACCTCCACAGAATTTTTAGAGAATAATTCATTTGTGTTATAACTGCCTATCGAAAGAAGCAAATAACTTTCACAGGAAAAATATTAAATATCCAATTTTTATTTATACTATATATAGTATAGATAAATTCATACAGTTTGTATAAAAATATAAGTATAATGTATAATACAATATGACATATTATAAATATAAATAATACTAACATAATATCTATTTATATCTAATTTAATGTGTATATGTGTGTGTGTGTGTGTTTGCTTTGAGTTCCTATAGAAGCAAACATGTGATAAAGTTGAGTAGAAAGTGTTCAATCTAAAGATTGCTACTAGTAAGCCCTTCTTGGCATCAAATCTAATCTGAGTTTCTATGAGAAAAATCAGAATTGTCTGTGGTGAGGAAATGGAAAGAGTGGGTACCACCCCCTAGTAATGGTGGGCCTGGACAGATTGCCCTCAGTTGGATGTAAGAGGTTCTCTCTATGCTTTCATCTACAGAAAGCATTCTCTCTCTACCTTCTGACTTCCTAGAATGATTATTTGGGACTCAAATCTTTGAGTCCCTATAAATTCTTCCAGACTGCTGCCTTGCCATGCATTGACCAAACATAATAACCAAGCTATGGAAATGAACAGTAGATGTTGTTTGTAAAGAAGTCTGGGACATACAATCAGTCACTTTGCTTTAGCTTCAGATAGTTTCTCTTTCAAAATGGTGTTAGTAACATCAACATCAGTAAACTGAAACTTTTCAAGTCTTTATTCTGTTCCAAGGACTGCAATCAGTATTTCATACACATTGTCGAGTTCAGTCATTGCAACAACCCACCGGGCTCTTCTTTGGTGCCACTTACCTCATGCACGCTGGTAGGTAGGGAATGGGATTGCTATAATGACGAAATGGTATTGCTTCATAAGTTATTTCACAGTATACTCATGTTGTGAAATATTCTGGAAAATCTTTTTTCATAATCAAAAGGAAAGACTTAGCTGTGTAAGATCTTCAGAAAAAAGCTGAAGATCTGCAGCCTCCTTACTTGTGCACATAGAGTCCCCACTGGTGTCTACAACTGATGGATAATCTGTCCATCTGGAGAAGCTGTGGGTATAGGGGAAGCAATTGCAGACTTATTTCTCTGACCTAAATTAATAGATAAATGAAGATAGCTAAAAACTGGATCAAGTTTTTAATTTTGATGAAAAAAGTGTCTCTATTTGGAACCAAATCACCTTCAATCCCTACTTTTTGTTCTTTAGGATTAATTTATTTATTTTGGAGAGAGAGAGGGAGAGGGAGCCCAAGCATGTAGGCAGGAGGGGCAGAGGGAGATGGAAAGAAAGACTCTTCACTGAGCTGAGCATAGAGTGCCACATGGGGCTCAATCCTGTAGACCTGAGATCCTGACCTCAGCTGAAATCAAGAGTCAGATACTTAACCTACTGAGCCACCCAGGCACCCCTAAATACCTACTCTCTGAAGGAAGAAGCACAAACCCCAATGTTTGAGGCTGGAAAACAGTGACTATGATGTTTGGTGAAAAATCACCAAACTCTTCACCTCTAAGAATATCTTCTGTTCTGGTTTATTCTCTGATAATAACTGAGCCATCCAGCTTTCTTATTACTGTTGCATTGTGTATCCTATCCTTTCATTTTTCATGTAGCTGTGTCTTTATAATTAAAATGGCATCAGGATTTTCAATATCACATGGAAGAGGTTAAACAAAAGGTTTTACTGGAAAAGGAGGAAGCTTGCAAAACAACAGAGGAACCAAAGCACTGTGCTCTCTCCAAATGTCCAGCACTGGCTCAGGACACAGGCTGCCCAGGCTGGAAACCCTGGATCCATGAGAAGGGCCATGCCCAAGGCTGGCTTGCAGAGGGACCCTCAGTTGGCCTCAGCTAGGTGTCACCTGTCCTGCTGGGAAGAAGGTGGAAGATGGGGTTCTCCAGGGAACCCAGAGTGAACATCTCCTTCTCCTCTTCTTCCTCCTTCTTTAAAAATCAATAAATGGTGCTCTTTACCTCATGCCTCCCTCAACTGTGTTCTATTCTCTCTCTTCTCCAAACTTTCGGTCAAGATGACATGGCTTATGAAAGTATGGAGAGATTTTTAGCGACATGAAGGTGTGTTCTGGTGAAAGAAAAGTGAAACTCTTGCTTTTTTTTTGGCACATTAGCCCTTGAACCAGTTCTTGCTGAGTTCCAGTCATGGAAGAACACAGGGCTGAGGAGGGAGCCAGAAAACATAGTTGGATCTTCTCCATGAAAATTAAACATCATTAAAGTATAAGTCCAGGTACACAGATTCAGTTTCACTGTGTTAATTGTCATTAACATAACAATCCCAAGTTTCTCTGGTTATGATCCATTTGGACCACAGAGGGGGACTCCCTGCCCCTCCCTCTGCATGTCCCAGGAAGCCTGCTGCTTCTGCTACAATGCATGGCAGAGTCCAGGCCTGAATGCTGTTAGCCTATCTCCTGCTGTACCTTTCTGTCTTTTTCTTCATCAGGAAATAGAATCTAATTTAATTTCTTAATTACAGATTGACTTACTTAAGAAATCATTTTTCAAAGCTTAGTGGTGTGATGTGCTTTGAAACGAGTGTGTACTTAGGCCTCAAACACGTTCCCAGGTCAGAAAATGCCATCGTTGTCGGGTTGTACTTTGGGACATATTTTCTATAGGGAATCTAGTTTCCATTTCGATAAAAAATAGAAGGATCAGTTTCTCTCCCTATTTACAGGTGTGTGTACTACTATGTGAAAAAAGTAGAAGGAGATAATCTGCCATTCAGAAATGCAGGTGTGTGAATATGTGTTTAAACATAATTCAGATTTATTGCTACAAAAAGATGGTTTCTTTCAACATTCCCCAGATAGATGAAGCTCATTGATTATACTATTACAAAGAAAAATAGTATAGCTTTAATTATTATTAGTTACTATTAATTTGCTGAGAAAATCTTCCAAAGAGACCCCGCCCCTTTTATTTGTGTCTCTGCAATATATCTATATATTCTTGTATGCTCTCCTAAGGCAATAAGTTCTGTAGATATATACCATTTATTTTAATGTTTTTAGGAGGGTACATTTTTATTTGCATAGCCCCATCTCTTCTGGATGCCATAATTTTAATAAAATGGATTGGCTGAAAATGATTGCCCTAAGCTATAGTGCATTATTGTTTGGCAGAGGGATTGTTGCTATATGGGAAAAAAAAATGGGATTTGAATCACATCTCTGCTTTTGCATCCAACTTGCAGAATGCATGGAATTTTTAACAAAATAGGCAAGGTTAGAGATGTGCTGTCTTTTCAACTCATTCAACCCATGTCTACAATTTAGCCTGTTGAAAAGATAGTAAGAAAGCAAGGACCCAAAAGTTCCATTGGAACATTGTGCTGTTTTGATCAAGCACCCAAGATGTGTCTGCAAGAGGAATGAAGTCTGTCTTATGTCTGCCCACTAGTCTTGTCTTTCACATTAAGATTTACATTTTATGGATTTGCGCTAAGATAAAAAAAGAAAGAAGCAGTTCTCACCATGGGAGATCTTGTTACTTTATCTCTTCCTTTTCATCCTTTCTCTAATTTTCAGGCTGTCTCTTTTCATATCAGAAGTCTTACTGAGTGAACTGAAGGATCAGTCTCTGTATCTCAGGCATTTCCTTTTTGTTTGGGGTGAAATCCAGTGATCACTCCTGTGCAGAGTGATGGACAGGGAGGGGAACAGATTGAAGTTGTCAAAAGAAAAACCAGAAATATATGATGAAACTCACCAAGCGGTTCAATCTCTGCCTGCCACCCTCATCTCCCAAAAATATCATTTATAAATAGTGGAATAAAGGTTATCTCGCTTTTTGGAGACAGGACACTTTCTATATCATGCCAGATATAACGCTGAATGTCTTCTGCCAGTCACCTGGGGTTTAAGAATATGATCTTGCTCAAGAATCCGTATGAGTAGCATATGTTTTCAAATAACTGTCTTTGGCCTGCAGGTACAATTCTGGTGGATAACATGCTGATCAAAGGGACTGCTGGAGGACCAGACCCCACCATCGAACTTTCCTTAAAGGATAATGTGGATTACTGGGTGTTGCTGGACCCTGTGAGGCAAATGCTCTTTCTGAACAGCACGGGCCGAGTTCTGGATAGAGACGTTAGTGACTCTTTTTTCCTTTGTTCCCATGTCACAACCTATTGTGGTATAAGTAACTGCATGTGTTTGTTGATAGCATATCAAACTTTCTCTATAGACTTGGACATGATTTTCTATGTTTATCAACAAAAAAAAACTTTTTTTTTTTAACTCCTGGAAGGAAAAATAAGGAGGGAAGGGATTGTCTGTGTCTAAGAGACCCATTGTATTTCCCCCTGAAATCCAGGAACAAGTTGGGGGTAGAGTTGGAAGAGTAGGAGAAACAGGGTGAGGACCTACACTGAGTCTGGGAATGCACCTCAGGTTTGCTTGAGGATGCAGTGAGATGGGCTAAGCCCAGGAGGTGGTCTCACAAAGGGCAGTCATGGGTTGAGGGTTGAGTGTGTGGCCCTGTGCTTCCTGAACTGTAAAGACATTCAAAGAAGGTGAACACGAGTCTCCTGGCACCTTGCCAGTCCATCGGTGGCAGGTGACCTAGGTATTAAGGTAGCATAACTCAGGTATTCTGTTATGAAGAACAGCTAAGTTGCCAAAATCACTGACTATTTCTCTTCTGAGGAAGTGGACTTTGCATTCCTGTCTTGGGTCCAGAGAAGCGTGTGTGTGTGTGTGTGTGTGTGTGTGTGTGTGGCGCACCCTGTGGTAGCTATAATAGCCATTATAGGGGACCTTAGGAGCGCATCTCAACATGCCTACTCCCGAATTTCCAGGCTATAAAATCCAAATGTCAGGCATTCAGCACTTGGTGAACCTGAATCTCTCGAATTTATGATTCACTTTACAATACAGTGTGGGGTGGAGGGCCCCTCATTTATTTTACATCTAAAGTTCAGAGTCTCTCAGAGCTTGGCTGTGAGGCGGGCCATGCACAGGACTCTCCCACCAGGATGGGCTCTCTTTGTCCTCTTGGGGGCTGCAGAGGCACTCACTGACATAGCCATGGTCACAGTCGTGGAAGGCAGGCACAATGGAGAGGGGGAGTGGGACTGTCAGGGTCCATGTAGGAGAAGTCTGTCTCGAGCCCTCCCACACACACACTCACTATGTACTTCTATCACAACCCATCATTTCTACCACATACTTCACAATTCAGGATGGGCACCTGGAAGGTATAAAATGGAACAAGGGCGGTTGTTATCTTGTCTTGGCTTAATTTATCTTCGAAGTCTTAAGTTTTGTGAGAGCAGTCTGGAAAATGGGCCAGACTGGCAAGCTGGGAGAGTCCCCTCCGCTGTGCTACCTACAGGCATCCTGTACTAGCATTCATCAGGGCCATTCATCCCTAAGTCCCAGGCATTTTATAATGTAACCTATTAGAATTATAGAATATGTGTCTCTTTTAGGCCACTGTTATTTTATGTTGTTTCCTTTTCTTAACCTAATAGCTAATTATAATAATTTACTGTTTTGCTGACAAATCATTTTCTTTTTTGAAAACATTTTTGTTTCATTTGAGATTAAAAGCACAAGTTCTGGGTCTGAATTGTGAGTAGAGAGAAAGAATATCCTTCAGTATAAATAAACTGGAATCTCTGTCTCCAACCTAAAACATTATTTATATTATGTACCAAAAATTATCTTTACCTGGAAAGATAAGTATCCACTTCCCTAGTATTATTTTTCTATTTCTGATAAGGGCAGCATTTATTGGATATTAGCAAAACTTAAAAAACAGTACCGTGGGAATACGCTTGAACAAGGACTGACTTGCAGGTAATAATTGCAAAAACAAGTATCACTTAAAGAATCATCTCGGCTGTTTTGTTTTGTTTTGTGTGTTTGTTTTTAACACAGTAATCAAAACTAATTTCCTTCTACTTAAAATGCCCCTTTCAATTAGGAATGCTATGGTCAAGTTACACTTGCCAAGATATTTTGTAAATTAAAGCGTTGTCAGCAGACACCTACCTGAATTAGCTAAAGATGCTGGAGTCAAGGACACCTAAAGGATATTAATTATAAAGTGAATATTGTACAGAAGAATCTATAAATAAAAATCAAATCACAGGTTCACATATGTGCAGTATGTTGATTTTGAAAACACAGTCATTGAGATCACAGGAAGACAGTAACTAAAGAGAGGATGAGGGGTGCCTGGGTGGCTCAGTCATTAAGCATCTACCTTCAGCTCAGGTCATGATCCCAGGGTCCTGGGATCAAGTCCCACATCAGGTTCCCTGCTCAGCCGGAAGTCTGCTTCTCCCTGTCCGACTCCCTCTGTGTTCCTGTTCTCGCTCTCTCTCTTTCTGTCAAATAAATAAATAAAATCTTGAAAAGAAAAATAAAGACAGGATGAGAGTTCATATGAGCTCAAGGCAAGGCTCCCTAGACACAGCACATGCTTCATATATAGTAGTGTTCAGAGTTTGCTGCTTACAAATGTTTCGCAGAATCATTGGACTTTAGAGGTGGAAGGACTCTTAAAGTTTTGCTAATTGATTATTTCTTTCATGGTCTACTGTGCGATACATTTAGATACAGCCAGTCTCACATTCAGCACTTGTCGATGGGGAAATGAGAACAGTAAAGCAATGGGGGTGATTTTTTTATTTGTCTCCATAGATAAGTGTACTCATGCTATTGTGATATTCGTGCCCTTTCTGCATTTTTTATTTTATGCCGTCCTGTGGAAGATAGATGGCTTTTGCTTTGTAAAAGTTCTTAAAAAAAATCTTTCTTAAAGACATAAAAGGTTGTCTATCTTAGGTTAGCCTTCCATGATTTTTGTTTGCTTGTTGTTTTGTTCCGTATCATTGTTGTTGTTTCTTATTGTTGTTGTTGTCAGTTTTGCTAGCCTACTGCTCTCATGTACTCTGCTTAGGTGACGAAAGTCTAAGTCCACTCAGCTAATTAACTAGGAAGCCATGCTGCGAAATAGTTGGGTTTTGGTGTCAGGGAATTCTTGGATAAATGTGGGAGCTGGATTTAAGCAAAGAGTTAGAAGTCTAAGTATAAACATAGTAAAAGGAGTAGAATAGAAGACGCCAGAAGCACAAGAACAATAAGCGTAACAGTGTGAGGTGTGGACCTGCTAGCCAGGCAAGGGCACCATCGAGTTAAAGAGTGACAGAAAAGGGGGGGGCAGTTTGATGTCAAGAAACTGACATATCTTTATAACATATCAGGGATGAATTGATCATTAAGAAATATGTCCTCGAAGCTCACCCTATTGCTGTTTACCAATACTAAGTTTCCACAAGTCAAGGTAGTAATGGACTAGGCTGAAATCCACTCTGATTGCTGGATTTGTTGGCCAGGCTTCATTTTGGGGAGGGGGAGCATTTGGCCAGGATTCTGATCAAATCTATGGACTCATTACTCAAGAAAAAAGTTTACTTGCACATGAATAAATGATATGCCATCAAATTTAAGAGTTTTACTCACACAAGGGTTACATAGACCCAGGGTTAGAGATCTTGCCTTGGCTAATGCATCTTCCTACTTCCCTTACTCTCAAATTGTTAGAGGATCTTCCATTTCAGAATCAGGAATTGTAGATAGAACCAAGGGAAGGAATTACTTACTGCATTTATACTCATATCTATCCCAACTCACTGGAGTAACTTGCTGTAGTCCTTTTTTTTTTCTTTTTGTAACTTGTGTGGTCTTAATGCATTCCCTAGCTATTAGATGTCTGCCACAAATCCCTTAATAGAAAGTGATCTCCACGTACCTCAGAAAAAAATAAATCTCAATACAATCTCTTACATCAGTGCAGTTTACCATGTCCTACATTAACCTTTGAATTTTTAAAATTCTTGTGAATTGCTTTCCCTGATGCCACAGTGCTTTTTAGGGCTTTATTCATCAAAGTTTAAAGGCTTTTTTTCTTAAAATTCTTAACCCAGTGCCCATCTGTTTTATGTGAAGCATAGATTATTGCTTCTAGGAAAAAAGTGTGGTACATCAGCGCATTTCGTCCAAATCTAATCACAAGAGGAAATTTTAATTTTACTTAATTATAAAATAATATATGCTTATGGTAGAAAAACCAGAAAATAAAAAGTATAGGTACAAACATTGCTCTTTCATTTAAGGAAAGTATTTAATATGCATCCTGCTGTATATTATTTCAAGCATATATATATATATATATATATATACACATATGTTAACATATGTCTTTATATCACACTGTATATAATACATTCAGCCTGCTTTTTTTAAAGGAATTATTTATTTATTTTAAAGGGAGAGAGCATGGAGGGGAGGGGCAGAGGAAGAGGGAAAGAGAGAATTTCAAGCAGACTCCCCACTGAGCATGGAGCTCAATGCAGGGCTCAGACTTAGGACCCCAGGACCTTAGCTGAAACCAAGAGTTAGAGCCTCAACTGGCTGAGCCACCCAGGTGCCCTTTTTTGCCTGCTTTTTATTTTTTTATTTTTATTATTTTTTAAGATTGTATTTATTTATTTGACAGACAGAGATCACAAGTAGGCAGAAAGAGAGAGGGAAGCAGGCTCCCTGCTGAGCAGAGATTCCCAATGCACGGCTCTATCCCAGGACCCTGAGATCATGACCTGAGCGGAAGGCAGAGGCTTAACCCACTGAGCCACCCAGGTACCCTTCTGCCTGCTTTTTATTTTTATTTATTTTTTTTTAAAGATTTTTTAAATTTTTTAAATCTTTTTTTATTTTTTATTTACTTTTTAAATATTTTTAAATTTTAAATATTTTTAAATCTTTTTTTAAAGATTTTTATTTATTCATTTATTTGACACAAAGAGAGATCACAGGTAGGCAGAGAAGCAGGCAGAGAGTGAGGGGGAAGCAGGCTCCCTGCTGAGCAGAGAGCCTGATGCGGGGCTCAATCCCAGGACCCTGAGATCATGATCTGAGCTGAAGACAGAGGCTTAACCCACTGAGCCACCCAGGCGCCCCTCTGCCTGCTTTTTAAATGTGACTTGTAATATACCTCCATCCTTGTGGATGAATGTATATATATAATCATTTTTAATGGCTGCATAGGGTTTTACTGGATGAATAAATGGAGATTATTT